ACAAACAAACTAGAACAGGAAGATAAAATGATTTAAGTTGCGCAGTAAGGAATATTTTGGCACAAATATGGGAATAAACAGGCGCAAATAGGAAACCTATCATAAACAACGCCCAAAGTTTTATGTCTCTTCTTCCCTGCCTGCTCTCTGTTCTGATTGTAAGGTGCAAAGAACAAAGTTTATAAAAACGATTGACAGGAAGCCAAGACGGAGGAACCCAGTGCAGAATAAGGAGTTGTACCTTTCTTCGTTTAATTTAATTTTTATTTTTTTAGGCCTCACAAATACGTATCTGTTAATGATAGAGATACTAAAAGATTCTATTATTAATCTTGGGAAGTGACAATTTCAGTTGAAAAAAGTTCTAATAATGTGGTAAGGTGCCCAAATCACTTACTCTGATTATTCGGTGTCTGACGGGCTGATGTTCTCAGTGTTATAAATGTACACTGCTTGTTTTTTTATTGTACTTACATGAGACATGAAAACTGCACATGGAAACGTTGTTAAACAATATGCTATGTCGTTACCTGCCTTTTCGTCTTCTTAATGCTGACTTGATTGTACCCCTCTTTTGTCTTTAAATTTTTTTTTTAAACCTACAAATAAAAAATGTTAAAAAAAATAAATAAAAATTTTTTATAATAATACATTCTAGTCCAATAATAAACATAGAACATTCTGGTATACACCAAAAATTATTTCCTTTTCTAATATTGATTTTTTTTGTATAAATTAAAAACAGACTTAGTAAACTCACTTTTCTCGCTTATGTTAATTGCAAATGACAAAGCTGGAAAAGAACAGGTTGGGGCCTGTAATCTGAATTTTCCATAAAATGTTAACACTGACAGTTGTGCGATGATCACACTCCGTAAAACAGTACATTTTGGAGTCAGTCTCCATCAATATCTATTAGTGATTAATCCTCACATAACATATTTCACATTATCTTAAAGGTAAGTAGCACCTGAAAATACGATTTAAAAAATGGATTGTAAACATTTATATGTACCATCTTCTAGAATCTTTATAGTGACTATCTTTAATGCATTTACTGATAAAATCTATCAAAAATGTATTTAACGGGACATTGTAGGCACTGTATATGCTTCATCTCATTAAACTGGTATGGTCTGTGGAGTCCCCTGGTACCATCGTTTCTTTCAGCATTAAACAGTTTTTAATGTTTTAATGTTTCAATACTAAACAAGAGTACCCTGCAGTCCATCCCATCTGTGCTGCTTTGGCTAATAAGGAAGTATTAGCCTGAGCAACAATGGGCAGCTGTGATTGGCTGAGAGTGTCAGCTGGCTGCTTTTAGCCTGTCATAGCTCCAACTGACGGTATGAATGGGTATGACAACAAGGAAGTGTGTAATCTATGTCTTAGCTACACATACGGAAGGGGCTGGACTGTGGGTGGCCAGGGACTCTTTTTTGTGGCATACTGCACGAACATGGTGCAACACTGAATGGAGGGACAGTTCCAGGGCACTCCAAGCACTATAACCAATTTAAAGAGCTGAAATGGTTATAGTGACTACAGTGTCCTTTTAAATTATTTTCCTCTGTTTAGCATGTTTAACCCCTTAAGGACTGGACTGTTTTTGCGATGTTGTACATTTGCGACCAGGCATCTTTTTACACTTTTATGGTGTTTGTGTTTAGCTGTAATTTTCTGCGCTCTCATTTACTGTTCCCATACAAATTATATATTGTTTTTCTCAGGACAAAAAGGGCTTTCTTTACATACCATTATTTATATAATCTCATGTAATTTAATATTTTTTTTTTTAAATATGATGAAAAATTGAAAAAAATACATGTTTTTTTACTTTTACTTGAAAAATCTTTTACTCATCTACAAAAGCGAATGAAAAAAACTGCTAAATAGAGTAAAAATTTTGTCCTGAGTTTAAAAATACCCAGTGTTTACATGCTTTTTTGCTATTTTTTTGCATGTTATAGGGCTATAAGTACAAGTAGGATATTGCGGTTTCAAAACATACATTTTTAAAATTTATCAATAGTGACTTTGTAACACTATGTAACATTATCTGTCATAAATCTCTGACTCACACCCCACATGTATGTATTGTATAAGTAATGTCCATACTTTTTTAGTAGCCACTTAGTCGCAAACACTGGCGTTCATATTTGTTTGTGTGTGAAAAAAGTATTTTGGCCAGTGTTTGTGACTAAGTGGTTACTAAAAAAGACTGGACATACCCCATTTGCAATACCTTGGGTTGTCTTCTTTTGCAAATGGTATGCCATCATGGGGGTAATTCTCATTCCTGGGCTACCATACGCTCTCAAAGCAACGTAACCAACCTGGCCATTTTCAATGTAAAAATATTTGACCCATATATTTGACCCTGTAACTTTCAAAAACGCTATAAAACCTGTACATGTGGGGTACTTTTATACTCAGGAGACTTTGTTGAACACAAATATTAGTGTTTCAAAACAGGAAAATGTATCACAACAATTATATCATCAGTAAAAGTGCTGTTTATGTGTGAAAAATGCCAAAAACTTTTAATCATTCAACAACATCAAAAAAGCAAAAAGATGCATTGTGGGAGGCACTGTTGCTCTGTGAGTTCCTGGAGTTCAGGTCTAGGCAATTCTAAATGCAAAAACAATTGTCAAACAAACCACAATATAACAACTATTATTGTGGAAAACAATCCCATTGCTACTGATTGTAAGACAGGTGTTGAACTTCACAGGTGCTTTTTCATATGCAAATTAACTATTGCCCTCATTTGCTTGTTGGGTAGTCTTAGCAATCTATAAACATGGTAAAAGCAGCTACTTTAAGAAAAAAAAAACTAATTGGAAATGTGAAAACTCTTGCCCTGCACTACTATGATGTAACTAAAACCTTTATCGGAAGATACAAATATCCACAGGAAGTGAAGTCGGAGGGTCAAAAGGCCATCCATATACTTTTTCAGGTTTTTTTTTTTTAGACAATCTTTTCAACAAATTACCAGTTTCTGCTTATAAATGGTTCACATTATTTCTGTGGGAAATTACATTTTGTCATGTAATGTTTATTAAAAAAACTTTGCAAGTTAAGATAACAAAAAAAGAAAAGACTACATATAAATAAAATATATAATAAATAAGTAGCACTCACAAGTCTTAATCAATATGGGTTTACTGTGCAATTTACATCATATAAAGATCAACGTTTCGGCCAATTCAAACCTTCATCGAGATCAAACAAGCTTAGAAAACAGTGTTTTATATAGGAAAGTGTGAACTATCACTTACCAATGACCCGTGTGTGTGAAGCTGGACAACGTGATGGCGAACATTTTTACTAAGAAACAAATAACTAATGATGTCATACGACACTCGGTGCTAATGCTAAAATGATTATAAAAAGAACAATTTGCATTCTGGAGGAGAACCAGTCTTAAATGGGATATACTTTAAATAGAAAGGAGACCGGCCACAATACAGAACTGCTTACAAGCTATTTTCATCCATATTGGGTAAAGAAACCCTTCCCAGTATCACAACACCGCAGAGTACTTTGTTACAACCCATTGTGCAGCGCTACGGATTGTGCAGCGCTATATAAATAATAAAATAATAATACAACAGTGAGAACTCAAGAAGAAACCAGTAAATACAGGAGATGATAGACCGGGTCCTGGTATGTGAACAAATACTGTCTAATGCTCAAGAATGAACTATTTAGGTTTGGAAGTCAAATGATAAACCGAAGATTACACACAAAATAACACATGGGAAAAAAAAATTCTTACCTCTCACGTATAATACAGCCACCTCTAATATTTGTAATACCCTGTATACATATTGGGATATACAAAAGAGACACTTTACACACCAGAACAACTACAGCTTAATGTAGTTGTTCTGGTGAGTATAGTCAGTCACTGAAGGCTTTTTAATGTAAACACTGCCTTTTCAGAGAAAAGGTAGTGATTATATTGCTGCCTAGTAATACCTCTAGTGGCAGTCACTCAGATAGCCACTGGAGGTGCTTCCTGGGTCAGTGCTGCACAGTGTGCAGCACTGGTTTTCAGTGTCTCCACGCCTTGCATGGAGATGCTGAATGCTCCTCCTAGAGATTAGAGATGCTAATCAATGTAATGCTATGAGAAGATGCTGATTGGTGCAGAGCAGCGTTTTGCCTTTGGCCTATGGGAAAGCATTGGATTGACTGAGATCTTCAAATCTGATGATCCCAGCCAAGGAGGCGGAGCTGATGGATGTGCCAGTAGAGGTGGTTACAGCAAATAAGAAGCCTCCTGTATTGCAGTAAATGTTTTAATGTTATTATTGTGCCAAAGAGACACTATAGTCACCAAAACAACTATATCTTAATGAACCAGTTTTGGTGTATAGATCATGCCCCTGCAGTCTCACTGCTCAATTCTCTTCCATTTAGGAGTTAAATAATTTGTTTATACACTCTAGTCACACCTCCCTGGATGTCACTTGCACAGCCTTTCTAAACACTTCATGTAAAGACAGATCTAATGTTTGCACTTTCTTCATTGCAAATTATTTTTAATTTACAATGTATTATCTCCTGCTCTTTTAGCTTGCTAGACCCCACAGGAGCATTCTGTGTATAATTAAGGTTCAATTTACAGAGACAAATTTTAAAGTAAGTTACATCTGATTGAAAATGAAACATTTTGTTTTCATGCAGGCTGTGTCAGTTACAGCCAGGGGAGGTGTGGTTAGGGCTGCATAAACAGAAACAAACGTGATTTAACTTCTAAATGGCAGATAATTGAGCAGTGAAACTTCAGAGGCATGATCTATACACCAAAACTGCTTTAATAAGCTAAAAGTGTTTTGTTGACTATCGTGTCCGTTTAAATAACAAAAGTTCAAATCAACTGGACAGCTGGATAAGATTACATTGGCATTATTAAATATGTTTTATTTTCTATTATTTATAGAAAATCAGAATAGAATATATGCAATTCTTATAATAAAATGCTTTATGTGTGTCTTGTTTTTTGCCTCGCCTCCTGTACAGCAAAACACTGACATTCAGAAACAGAGACAGTTTTAACTCATTTATAATTCTGATCAGATTAATAGGAGAATTATGCCCTAGAGCTTGCAATCTTTCTCTGTACCTACTTTGGAAATATACTGATCCATAATACAGGGTTTTTACACTCCATTAATTCATTATCAATAGACATTTATAATATATTTTATTTTGTTCTGGCCATCAATTGGGAGTGAAATAAAACCTTATACCTTTTTATAACCTTTTTAAGCAAACAGTATTTCCTTGATTCAATTGACACTTGTGATGATCCCTGTGTTCAGTGTAAGTGTGTATGTATTTCAGTACATTTTGGGCTTTCACTTCAGTGTTAAGCAGAGTAAATATTTCAACACACTTTATACTTTTGGGAGGATGTGACTATTGACGGCGCCCTCTACTGGACAGGAAAAATATGTGTGTTTAATATTTAGTAAACTGAAATAAAAAAAGGTATTTTTAATCGTTATCACTCTTTCTATTGATCCTGAAAGATTGTTAAAAATAAATTAAAACTGTAAATACTGACTTGCAAATTTAGAACAATGACACTTTGCTGTAGATAAAATAATAATCACTACTAATTAATATGGATCTACAGTCGGATAATGTGCTTGATGGACATTTATCGACCTAAATTACTGTCACTCAAATTGGTGGGAATTCAAAGTGAATTTGTAATTTTAGTCCAAAATAAACAATCTAAAAATATAGCTAAACTGGAGAATTTAGCAAGATTGGCTGTTTTGCCCTCAAATTTAAAATTCACTGTAAATTCCTGACAAATGAAAGTATGTGAGTAAGCCTATTAATGGGTGGATCTATAGCAAAGTTGCAGTCCTTTATATATCCATTGTCAAATTTACATGTCACTATCACTACAATATGCGTAATGGATACAATTAATTATATACATGATGTCGTGACTTGCAACATAATAGGTATAAATAAAATCATAGAATAAATATTGTATTTATATTGTATATACTAGTTGCTTTATGTCAGTTTTATTTTTCTCATCTATTTTCACATCAGATTGATAGAAATGCTTAAAATACACATTTAGGGTAAATAAATAAATAAAATCACAAGCTTGATTTATAAAATGATTGGCTCCGCCTCCTGCTGGTGTCGAGGGTTTTGCCATATTTTTTCACCGATGATTGCAGGCTGCTGAACATATCCACTGCATAATTGTTATTGGACTAAAACGTTTAGCAATGTTCTACTATTTATTTTTAAAGCTCATACATCGCTGGAAATAAATAATCTTTTAAAACAACTTTATGAATTTTTCAGATTTTGGCATCATTAAAATGCTGTATTTTTTTCCATGCTCGAATCTTTGTAGTTTTTGCATAAAAAAAATAACATAAATGTATTGCATAAGCAACATAAGCCCGCCTCTTTAGACACACCCCCTCACTCCAGTGAACGACTTCCTTCTCAAATGTATGCACACTGCTCAGTCACTGGCAGTACTCGGTGATCTAAACTATAAACCATCCTGCATTGTAAGGAGAGGAAACCGGGGAGACATATAGTAAGGATATCACTACCTCTTTATAGTCTCTAGGACTGTCCGCAGCTAGGTTGTGAATTAATAGCCGCCTACTCAGTGCTGTTGAGTCTGAACTTTGTGAATACGCTTGATAAGGAAGTATTTCTGGCACGAGGGGGCGTGGCTAAAGAGGCAGGCTTAGAGAGCAGCTGTCCGCGAAACATTTATTTTGTTTTGTGCGAAAACTATAAAGATATTAATGAGTCCAAAGTCTGTCAAATGCATTAAAATTGTATTGGTGCCTGAAGTTGGAAAACTGAATGTTACTACTTATTAATTTAACCCAGAGTCTTGCACCAGTTATAAAGAAAAACCTTTTAAAAGGTCATATTAGGGAAAATGTAGGACAATTCTGAGAAAGTGCTGAACTAGTACTGAAGACAAAAACATATTGCTCCAAAACAAAATTAGTGCTTCAGCTACTAGACAATTTGGAGCGACCAAACCAATTTTCCTAAAAATAGGACTTCCGCCATATGTCAGTTTGACTCGGCAGAATTTTGGTAATGGATTCGGGAACACAGTCAGATGAACCACAAGGGTGTAAAGATTAGCCAATTAGTGTACTGCAAAATATATATATATATGTGTTTTGCTGCTATTTCTTTCAGCAATCAAGTGGAGAAAAGTAACCAAAGGAGGAAAAATGTATAGATTTAAATATTATTTATCAAAAATATAAAATAGAAATATAGATTTTTTTTTACTGTTCCTACTTTTATTTCCCTCTATTGCACACTTTGCACTTGATCGGTGAATAAAATCAACCTTTACAGAGTGCCCGAATGACCTTTTACTGCATACAGGGCCATTCAGATTGCAACTTCAGGACTTTATTCACATTATTTAACAATGTCCGGATTTTGAAATTTAGGCAATGAATGGGCTTGAATTAGGTATTCAAGCCCATTCACCAGTGAGCTCATATTTCCCAAGGAGATATTTTGCCCAGTAAATTACCGCGGATTGTCCCTGTCCGTGTGGAACTCTTTTTGGCCAAGACTGTACTAGCGGTTGGACGAAAATTGGACTGTGTTGGATCCGAGCACTATTTTCCCAGAATGGACTCTCGGATCTGCTTTTTAAAATGATGTATGACATGGGGGATACCTTAATGTTTCATGGATGTTTTGTTGGTCTGGGTATAAATGTATTTACGTTTGGCTGAATAAACCAGTTATTGTACCCTTCATCAAATCTCGACTGATGTTTGGGTATGCGGGACTTATAATCACTGCGGAGGTACCACTCTGCTTACAGGTGCTCTGTTACAAACATGTTCACCTATTGTGTGCTTTGGTTGGTTACTGATTTGGGTACTTTTGGCTCAGATTATGGGAATTAAACCGATCACCCAATCTCCCCAATTTTGGCTGAATTGCAGTTCAAGCAGAAAACGAGTCTCCAAGTTTAATAACTACAGTAAGGTCAAAAAAAGTACCAGGGTAATACCCGAAAGAAATGCTGCCACTATTTTTTTTTTCTTTAGTTGTCAAATGGTGATTTTTATTGTTAAGTGATCATTTATAATGAGTAGAGGATGAGGTTGCTTTGGCATAAATTGATTAAACTATTTGAGTATTTTAAATATTTTTTTACTAGGACACTTCTCATTCACACGTTTAGCAACAAAATGGTGAATGTTTATATCTTAAACTACTGCTGCAATTTATATCACTACTGCACTCTATACAACTACTGCACTCTATACCACTACTGCAATTTAAACCACTACTGCACTCTATGCCACTACTGAACTCTATAACACTACTGCACTCTATAACACTACTGCAATTTATACCACTACTGCACTCTATAACACTACTGCACTCTATACCACTACTGAACTCTATAACACTACTGCACTCTATAACAATACTGCAATTTATACCACTACTGCACTCTATAACACTACTGCACTCTATACCACTACTGAACTCTATAACACTACTGCACTCTATACCACTACTGCACTCTATAACACTACTGCAATTTAAACCACTACTGCACTCTATACCACTACTGAACTCTATAAGACTACTGCACTTTATAACACTACTGAACTCTATAACACTACTGCACTCTATAACACTACTACAATTTATACCACAACTGAACTCTATAACACTACTGAACTATATACCACTACTGCATTCTATAACACTACTGCACTTTATAACACTACTGCACTATATACAACTAGTGAAATCTATAACACTACTGCAATCTATACCACTACTGCACTTTATACCACTACTGAACTCTATAACACTGCTGCAATTTAAACCACTACTGCACTCTATACCACTACTGAACTCTATAACCCTACTGCACTCTATAACACTACTGCAATTTGTACCACAACTGCACTCTATAACACTACTGAACTCTATAACACTACTGCACTCTATACCACTACTGCACTCTATAACACTACTGCAATTTAAACCACTATTGCACTCTATACCATTATTGAACTCTATAAGACTACTGCACTCTATAACACTACTGCACTCTATAACACTACAGCAATTTATGCCACAACTGAACTCTATAACACTACTGAACTCTATAACACTACTGCACTCTATAACACTACTGAACTCTATAACACTACTGCACTCTATAACACTACTGAAATCTATAACACTACTGCACTCTATACCACTACTGAACTCTATACCACAACTGCAATTTATACCACAACTGCACTCAATACCACTACTGCACTCTATACCCCTACTGCACTCTATAACACTACTGCAATTTATACCACAACTGCACTCTATACCACTACTGAACTCTATAACACTGCTGCACTCTATAACAATACTACTATTTATACCACAACTGCACTCTATAACACTACTGCACTCTATAACATTACTGTAAACTATACCATTTCTGCACTCTATACCACTACTGCACTCTATGCCACTACTGCAATTATACCACTACCGTAGACTAAACCATTATTGTAAACTATACCACCACTGCACTCTATACCACTACTGCAAACTATACCATTAGTGCAGTCTGCACTACTACGACAAACGATGCCACTACAATATGTACCACCACTGCAAACTGTACCACTAGTGCAAACTATACCATCATTGTAAAGCATGGGATGTTATGTTATGATTGATGCAATCCAGAAATTAATCTTTAGAGGTCATTGCTTGCTCGGGGAAGATTCAGTAGTTGGAGGAAGTCCATGGAGCTGGCCATGTCTAAAAGAAATGTCTGGATGAAGTTGAAGCAGCGGGTCCCTTTTTGGAATCTCCTGATCACATTGTTAAGGTGTTATATGTTATCAATACAAGTTTTCAACAGTTTATATTTAACACTATGGAGTATGAGCAAGAGTCTTATAGAGCAAAGACAGGAATTGTGAATAGGTGAGACGGGAGAAAATCTGGACATAGGAGTAATACCAAATGACAGAAATTAAACTCATGGACAAAAGAAAGAAGGACAGGAGAGATCTTAGATATGAGAAAAATACTTTTGAAACTGTTTTTTTTGTGAACTGTTTAATGCAAAGGATGCAGGCTGGCAAGAATGCCTTCTATGTTCAATCAAACTTCAGTTGTAAAGTCATTAAACAGCCACCAACACTAATCACATTTGTTTTCATTTCACCATCTGTAGAACTTTATTAAGCATCCAGTGGAATGTTAAAAAGCTCAATCATCAAGGTATAGCACAGAGACACAAGCTGGCCACATAGTCTTTTAACCAAGCCAAGAAATGCACATCTATCCTGTGGACATAATAATCCCATTAGAAGACAGTATTACTTAACATTTGAAGCCCGGCTGGAAGTGGTGGAGGCCTCAGGCAACTCTACAAACGTATGCACCATGCAAGAGAATTAATCCCTAGGTTTGATCTCACCAACACAAAGTTAACTTTGGAATTTAAATTTTCCATGGGTTTATTTAGCAAACTAAGAATTGAGGAGAATTGGCTAAGAAATTTGACATTTTAGGGCTGGTAAAATAACGCGATTAGATAAAGTTTCAAATTTGGCTGAAAATTTACATTTCCTTTGCTATTGCAACGTAATTCTCAATTTAGTGAATTTAACCCTATTTGTGTTTTTAAACTTTTCTACTTATATGGATTTTTTATTTTTATTCTGGGTCAATAATGTGGATCATATGCTGTAAAGAAAAATATTTTAGTAATACTGAAATTATGGGGTATTTCCATTTATTTTCAGAAAATAAAAGGTTGTCTTATTATTATATGCTTCTTTACCCCGATAGTAAAACTGAAACCAGTTTCCAGAAAAAAAACCCCCAAAATATCTGCAATATCAAAAAAACAAACCCAAAAGGCTAGCACTATGCAAACTAAACATTCAAAATGACTATTATAGAGACGCATAATTAAGATTATGGATCCCTTCATTTTGAGTTAAAATGGATCTTCGACCAGAGGAATTTTTTGTATTTTAAGGTCATACTTAAACTATGGGGCTTGTTTGTATAAATTTCAAATATTTCAGAGCCTTTTAAAGGCACTGAAAGTTTTTATGGTATGGTACCTCTTCAATTTTAATCAGTCAGTGGCAGCACATGTTATTGGAATATTCTTGCCCAATGAATAATATCTGCAATGAAAATACATGGTCTTCAGCAGAGAACCATTTTGAATTCTCTCCCATAGGTGATCATACAACGGTGACATTCCACCAAGAGTAGCAGTGAGAATAAAACAGCACTAAAAACATTACCCCTACCTGTTACTTCCCAGTAAGTATATTATTAAGTGTTCTTGCATAGCAAGACCACTTAATGTTATCTCACATATATATTATTATTAAGTGTTCTTGCATAGCAAGACCACTTAATGTTATCTCACATATATATTATTAAGTGTTCTTGCATAGCAAGACCACTTAATGTTATCTCACATATATATTATTATTATTATTATTATTATAGCAAAATTTGCCACCCTAACTCCTCCCGCAGTTTTTACACTACATAGACAAAAATTTACCAAAACGTGCAGATTGTTCCCGATCGGATTGCTATTACTTTGTGGAACGTTTCGCCGAATGGTTCACGGAATATCGTCGTTCTTGTGGCGAAATTTGTCCCATAGGAATGAATGGCAAAGCTAGAGTGGGAGCTGGCAAAAGCTGAAAAATCAGGACATGATTTCTAAACTGCCACCACTCCCTCATTTTCAGGCCCACCTACACAAATCTTATATCAAAACGTTCAGCTATCCCTGCTGCCACTAAACATGTCAACGGCTAAGCCGTAGTCCTGATAGTTTTCACAATATGACCATTTGTTTGCAACCAACGCCGTCCATTGACATTCATTGAAACTTCACTCTGCAAAGCTCAAATTTGAAGTGCAATTTCTAAACTGCGACTGCGCCTTCAATTTTAATACTTCAGAGACATACTATGCATCAAAATGTAGGTCTGTGTCTTGTGATTCTCACAATATAAAGCTCTTCACTGTAGGAGTTATAGTTTTTAAGATACGACCGTTTGAAGATGGCAACCGCCAAAATACTCTGACCTGTGTCAAGCTGCAGCAGCAAGTGATGTCATAGACAGGGCCTTTTGAACACCTGCTAATGTTTTTATAAATGTATGGTTTAATGTAACTGTGC